AACGAGACCGTTCAGAAGTCACTGAGGCGTCCCTGAGCGATTGAGAAGGTCGTGGAGAAGACCAGGAACAGTTAGGGGGTCGTTACCACCTCTAACTGTGGGGTCGGAGGCAAAAACGCTGGGGAGGCTCAGTACCTGATACCAGGAGTTTTCGAGTCGAGTAGAAACGTAGATAAAGGGAGACCGGGCCTCAGTGGATGAGGATTCTCACCATGGGGAGGCAGAGAAGGGTCGACTATGGGGATCAACCGCGACTCTGAAAGTCGTGGTTGGGGGTGCCTCTGTCCCAGAGGAGCCCTTGGGGGTGCCGGACACTCAACGGTCACTTCCCAGGTTCCAAAGGGACATTAAGACCATGAAGGGGAGACTCACCAAATCGAAGACCAGTGTTGGGCGAGAAGATGAGCGACTGGGGAAATGGACGGTGAGCCCGTGGAGGAGGATCGGGCAGTGAGGGTTCCCAGAGCAGCTCAGGTTCCCAGAGGAAGAGCAAAGTCAATGGGAGAGCCTCATCCGAGTCACGGCGCCAATGAGAGGGTATCTCGTCGCGACCCTCCGTACCCAGAACGACTCAGGAGACACGGGCCCACGCCAGAGACTTTATTATCTGAAGGAGAGAGTGGCTGCCCCAGACAGGGATGGGGAGACAGAGAGAGAGAGAGAGGGAGCAGCAGAGAGAGGAGCAGAGTGAGAGAGACAGAGAGAGAGAGGGCAGCAGCGTGGTGCCTTTTATTGTGGATCTGCTCGGCCTTCTTCTTTGAGGGAGGGTCGGGATGTTTAGAGATAAGGCGGGATAAGCCCAGCAAGCCCCAGGCCAGCCCAGGCATAATTCTCACCGGCTTCTGTGCTTGGGACCATGGGGCAAATGGAGGATAAATTATATATTCTTACAAAAAGGACAAACTGAGTTACTCTTCAGGGTATGAAGTGGGGGTGACGATTTCATAGGCAGGCTTCATTCAGGCCCTGGGGATGGGGCCAACCAGGTGGGAACTTTGTCCTAAAGTAAGTGACAAGTACCACCGAACAGGGCAGCAGGAGAGCCCCAGGGCTACTGTTGTCAAGAACTCCAAAGGTGAAAATGACCCACAGGAGCCACCTGTGCACATTAGCTCCTGGGCTGCCAGGGGTTGGGATCCAGAGTTCGACTCCAAAGGTGGGGGGTGGGGGCGCTGCATTCAGAGAGGGTACTGCCAGCCAATCGGCCCTGGTGCCCTGGCTCCAGTCCCGGACGCTGGGCTCTAGAGGGTCTCGCCCCTTGGGCAAGGCTGTCAGGGCCAGCTGGGGGGGCGGCGGAGGCCGGGCCGAGAACGAAACCGGAAGAGGCGCTTGGACCCTGGTTCCCAGAGTGGGAGAAAGGGGTGGACACCCAGGCAGAGGGAGCCCTGGTGATTGGCAGCGGCTGCGGGCACGGCGGGCCGGACGGAGGTGGAGTCAACTCGTACACGTGAGAAACTCCGGCTGGGGCCGGGCCTCCCCCTCCCTCCACACCCCTCCCCTCCCCTCCCCTCCCTCCTCCTCCTCTGGCTCAGGTTGCAGCTCCTCCGGGCAGCCGCTCACCTTTCCGGAGCAGGGCAAGCAGCCCCGAGGCGGGCAGGGACCCCAGCAGGGCGCAGGGCACGGCCCCCAGCCCCGCGGCAGCCCGGCCTTTGCGGGCGGGAGCCGGCGCGCCGTGGCCCCCAGGACGCGCGCAGTGAGTCCCGCAGGCGGCGCGTTGGGTCCGGCGGCCGGGCGGGCGGCGCGCCGGGGAGGAAGGAAGAGGTCGGAGGAGGGGGCTCCGCCGCGCCGGGTAAACCGAGCAAAGGTAAGCGGGGCGGCTCTTAAAGGCGCCGTTCCGCTTCCACCCTGCGGGGAGCGGTTGGAGGGAAATACCCGAGCGACGCGGGGAGACCGACGATCACGAGGCGTGTGGGCATGTGTGCCGGGGGGGTGGTACCCCGAGTTCTAGGTGTCAGGAGGGAGGGCTGTTTTGCCTTCTCAGACCCCACACCCCCAGGGAGTCTCCACCGGGATTCGCTGTGGCCCCGGGCTCCGGTCTGCTCCCCAGGAAGCAAAGTTTTCCACCCAGTCTCAAACCAGGCGCTTTCTGGTCGCCCTTCTTAATGGGAGGGCAAGGGTCAGGAGTCTCTGGTAATGACAGAACCCGCAAGTGTGGGGCCAGATCGCTGCCTCGAAGGGTTTTCTGGGCTCTGGTGAACTTTCCAGAGGGGCAGACGAGGCAGTGGAGCACAGAATCCCTGTAGGTTTCAGCGCTGCTCTTCGGAGGGTGGGAGGGGTGTTGATTGGCGCCTCTGAGGATTGCTGCTCTTGACTGCCCACCGGGGAGACCAGAAGGGCACTGTCCCCCAGTCCGCAGCAGGGGGCAAAGGGTTAATGCTGGGATGGGAAAGGCGGGTGGTCTGTTGGGCTCAGGACTCTGCTGTTTGTCCGGGAGAGGACCAGGAATCCGAAATCTGAAATCAGGTCTCTGGGCTGGAGGCCTCTGCTCTGTTGCGGGCTGAGATCTGGGGAGCTGTCTGCAGGTGGAGAGGGGTTCCGCCTGTTGATAAGGATTGATTTTCTGTGCTCGGGGTCAACATCCTCCTAGGCACCAGTGGCTTCTTTCTAGTTCTCCCAGAAGCCTTTCCTGGCAGCAGGGGCAGGAGGGCTGGTGCTGTGAGGAGTGGGGGGTCAGTCAGCTCCCCAGCACCTCGTCCCCACCCCCCAGCCCAGCTCTCAACAGTTCCCCAGCTGCTGGGTCCTGTGACTCACGCCAGCCTGCCCCTCCTGTGTCACCACCCTGGGAGGTTCAGCGCGTTTGCGCGATGTTTTCCGCTAGGCATGGGCACACAGCGCATTCCTGGACACCGGCCTGAGGAAGCAGAGTCCTCGAGGACGGCTGGCAGGAGGCATGTCCTCTGAGATCGTCTGCCTTTATTCCGGCCTTGGGAGGGAACTGGCCTTGGGAGGGAACCGGGACGATGTAGCTTAGGTGTGGGGGAAGGCAAGGATGCGCCCAGGTAACACCGGCTCCAGGATGTGGGTCTGCATCCGAAAGGCCTCCTGGAGAGAGGGTCACCTTGCCACAGCCGAGCACCTATCTCGGGTCGCCCCAGCCACCTCTGTGCAGCTGCAGCCTGTGAGCTGCCCCTTCCTCCCCATAAGCTCACTGCCCATTAGGTTCCTGGGACTCTCCCTGCTGGCTGCCCACCCCAGACTCCCCCCCACCGTCTCCCCCCAACCAGCCCACCAGGAGAAAGGAGACTTCATTTAATTCTTCCCATACTTACTGGGGTTTCCAGAGCAGATGTCAGTAAGTGCCCCCTGATTACTGAACGCCTTGGTGGCTACTATTTATTGAATATGTACTGGGTGCCACGCAGCGTGTCACACGGCTTTATGAAGGGGGTATCATCCCCATTTTACAGGTGAGGACACAGAGGCTCTGAGGCGCCAACTTTGCCAAAGTCCCACCTAGAGGGATGCAGCCCACTTCCATCTGTGTCCAAACCCCTGCCCCACCCAGGGAGAGCCTAGCCCCCTCCGAGTTCTCTGGCTCTACATCGGTCCTCAGGAGACAGGAGGATGGGGCTGGTGCTCCAAGTACTGAGGCTCCCATCTGCCCTGCGCCAAGCAGAGCCAGGCTGCTCCGTGGGTCACAGGAAGAAGGCACCGGCTCTGAAGAACGAGTAGGTTCCTGGTCGGGTCCATCTGTCTTAAAGCTGCATTTGCTTTCTCCATAGATCCAGAGTCTGTCCTTTGCCAACTTGGGTCTTCCTGTGCCCAGGCAAGCAGGTCCCAGAGCCTATCCTGGCTCCCCCCAACTCTTACCCCAGCCAGCCCCTCCTTTCTGGGGTCCCCCTGTTTGGGACTTTTGCCCAGCATCTCCATCTACCCCTTCCTTACTCCTTTGCTTTCCTAACAGAGTGTGATACCCAAAGGGGAGGGCAAACCCAGGGGCCTGCTGGCACCCAGCTCCAGCACCCGCTGGCTGGGTAACTCCCTCTCCCCGGCAGACTCTGAGCGTCTCCCAGCCTGTTTCCTCATCTGTGAAATGGGAGTCATAATAGTGGGGATTGTCATGAGTTAAATACAATAGCGCATAGTGCCTGGCAGGTAGCAGACCGTGAATTACTTGTAGCTGTACTGCTGGCTATTCGGAAAGGAATTTCCTAGTCACTGCACCGTCCAGGGCTCTGGGGTAAGACGGGGAGGCAGGCTTTGCAGATCCGGTCAGTATCTCTCCTGGGGGGTGGAAGGCTCTGTGTAAGAGAGTGGGGCTGGGGTGCCGCTCAGGAGAGGACTGGGAGCCTATGCTGTGGGTGCTCCACCCTCTAGTTTCCAGGATGCATGTCGTAGGCACTAGGCACCAGAAAGCCAACAGCCTCCTGCTAGGAAGCCTCTGGCAAGACCTCTTTTTCCTGGGCTAAGAAGACCCTCCCCCAGGACTTAATGAACTGCTGTGCCTCTTCCTCTCTGTTGTGTAGACCATGAGGGAGTGACCGGCCTGGACCCAGACTCGCCTGAATAGCTTCATCCCTTTGGGAACAAGTCACATTTCCCTCCCTCGCCCTTTGTCCCACCTTGACCCCTGCTCCCTGTCCCCCCCCCCGACCGTTTGCCCTCACCTTCCTGGCACTGGCTCTTGAGCAGGCACTTTCCCATCCCCGGGGGTTGGTCCTGTCTTGGCCCCACAGCTGTGCACACGCACACAGAGCAGCAGCCCAGGCAGAGGGTCTGGGTCCCAGGATCAGGGTGGAGGCGGTGGCCGGGCCTGGCCAGGGGCACAGCAGCAGATTCGGAAGAGGGAGAGCCGTGGGTGCCTCTCGGCCAGACCTCCTGTCTGAACGCAGCCCATCTGCTTGAGATCTCCACGGTTCCGCCTGCTGAGGAAGAGGGACAAGGAGGCAAATGCGAGGTTTGGCTTTGAACCGAAAGGGCCTTGAAGCTCCCTGAGAGCATGAGTGACCCCAGTGAGTCAGGACACCCTGATCACAGAGATTGTTTGAAGGACAGTTGTGAGGCCATCTTCCTGGGAACTCTGGCTAACGCTCAGTGCTCCCCAATCCCAACCCCACCCCACTGATGTGAAAGTCTTCCAGGGAAACAGAGGGGTGGGAATAGACCAGATGCCTCTGCAATGGCTGCCTGCTGCATTCATTCTGTGTATGTCAAGCGTGCGTCTCCGTCCACCGTGGGTGAAGGCAGTTTACAGACTTTGGGGTCAGTCGATTCTACCTGTCCTTTAGTAAGTGGTTAGGAGAAAGAACTTGCTCACCCAAGTTTCTGTTTCCTCATTTGAAAAACAGAGAAAGTAAAAATATTACTTCCTGTGGTTGTGAGGACTCCAATGAGATCATGTCCACGTCCTTCCCAGCTTTTTGCCTTACGTGGCGTCACCAGTGGGAGGTGGTGGCAGATGGAGTTGGTGGGCCTCACTGGGCAGCGCTCGGTACCCTGGCCTCTTCTGCATCCCTGCGGGATCCCTGAAGGGCTCAGCTCCCAAACTGGGAAGGAAAACTGTTTCAGAACGGCTGTGCCCTCCTTCACTCCGAGCGCCCTCTGCGTTCTGCCGTCTTGGGAAGTCCTGGCAGTGCTCTGGGATGATCTCTGTCCTCACACCGGGTGTACCTCTTTCCTGCCGTTGGGGTTCCCCTCAGAACCAGGGCTGCTTCTCTTGTCTGGCCCCAGGTACCCAGCCAAAGAGATCCTTGCTGGGTGGCCAGGTGCAGGGAGGGCTGTGGCCGTCCTTCCCCATGTCCTGTCAGTACCCAGTGCCCAGAAGCAGCAGGTGAAGGTCCCAGGCTGGAGGGCTTCGCTCACGATGGCCATGCTGGGCCTCCAGACCACCTCTGCCATCACCGCCTGGGATGAGACCAGGAGAGGGGTCCCAGAGCCCTCCCTGTTCCTGGCATGGAGCCCAACTGTCAGCACCCCCCTACCGCTCCACCATAGCTGGGCTGGGTGCCACATTCCGGGCTGATGCCAGGCCTGACGGTTTCTTCCCTGTGCAAGGCGGCCCTTGACTGGGCTGCTGATTGCCAGGGTAGTGTTGCCCTGTGGAGGGAATGCCATTTCTGGGCACATCCTTGCAGTCCCTTGCCAGGGGAGCAGAAAGGCCACTGAACTCAAAGTCAGCAAGCCCTCAGGTGTAGTCTCAGCTCTGCCCCACCAACCTTACCGGCCGTCGGTGGTCATTCCCTGTCTGCATGTCTTACCCTGAAAAATGAGAAACGGACCAAGAGTTCTCTAAAGCCCTGTCCAAGTCTGCTGGTTTGTGGTTCCAGCTTCTGTCAGTCCTGCTGACGCTGTGAGCTGTGCTCTGAGACCCCAGGAGGGACTCACCTTCTTTTCCTCCAAACTCTGGAGCACAGCTTCTCCCAGTTAGCCTGGCCCTGCCATGGCTCAGAGGGACAAGCAAACCCTGGAGGGCTTCCCCCATCAGGCAGGAGGAGAAAAAGCACCTCCCAGAGGAGCAGGTGCCAGATCCAAACACCATTCAAGCCCTGAATGGTGATGGATAAGGCTCTTGGCCAAATCCAGCCTGTCTTATGGCCTGTGAGCATCTACAGTTTTAAGTGGTTGGGAAAAATTCAAAAGGAGAAACTAACATTTTATGACCCTTGAAAATATAAAATTCAAATTTTAATGCCCATGAATAAAGGTTTAGTGGAACATGGCCACACTCATTTGTTTACATCTTATCTATGGGTACTTTGTACAAGGGTAGAATTGTCTGATTGCAACAGGCTGTGTGATCCGCGATGCCTAACATACTGGCTGGCTGGCCGTTTACAGAAACCATTTGCCGACCCCCGCTCAAGATAATTATAGTTCTTCCAAGGCTTGCACTAAACAGTTCTGGAATCTCAATCTAAAAATACTTTCTTTTCATGTAAAAAGAAGTGTTAACTTCTTTTAACATAAGCAGTGAATGTTTATTATAGAAATATTAGAAGAGGCAAATAAGAAAGAAGATATTAAGATCGCCCATAATTCTGCCACCTGAGATAACTACTGTTAGCATTTTAACTTAAATCTTTCTGGGTTATATACAGTGTTTGTATTTATATGTGTACATATGACATGTGTGTATGTATACCTAGCACACACACAGTTTTTACACATCTACGCTTTTCATTTAAAAACAAATCTCAACCTATTTGCTATCTCCAGGACTGTCCTAGGGCCGGTGGGGGTTATTCTGATATCTCTGCCCTCAGACCCTGGAAGGCATCCAGATAGAGGCGTCTGGCAGGCAGAGCCGTGGGCCTGGGAGCCGTCAGCACGTGGGTGGTGGTCTCCACCAGGGCAGAGCGTGCGGAGGGGAAGAGCAGAGGGCCAGAGGGGACTCTGGGAGTGCTGACGTTCAGGGACAGGTAGGGGAAGTGAGTCCCCCAGACTTGGAGGGAGAAAGAAGCAGGGAAAACTAGGAGGCCAAGGAGGAGGGTAAGATGAGGCTTGAACCCTAGGACAGTGCCCGGCACCGAGTAGGTACTTGTGAAATGAGTGAGTGACTGCAAGAAACCCAGTGCCGTCGAGGAGGCTCAGCTCTGGGGAGCAGGAGCCGCTGATGGGGGCGTTTAGGCAACAGTTGAACCACTGCAAGACGTTCAGAGGTTCCCAGAAACAGGGAAGGCGGGGAGGTGGTGCAGGCCAAGGTGGCCTCCTGGGCCCAACCTGGGGCAGGGGAACCTGTGGAGTGTGACAAGGCCGCCTTCCCCTAAAGGTTGGAGAGTACTGACCAGAGGGTCCTGTTGGGATGTGGGCACGGAGTGGTTGGGTCAGGCTGGTGGGAGGGGGGTGCTGGGAGTGGATATAAATAGGAATATGGCCTAGAGATGCCGGGAAACTCTCCCTTCCGGCCCTCCCTGCTCATGAGACTGAGCGGTCCCCAGGGAAGCCAGCTTTGAAGGGCCTGCAGTCTGTTGCTAAAGTTGGGCATGGCAAGAAAACCAGAGAGGCGTGAACAAAGACCCCATGTCAGACCATCAAGAGGCTGGGCTTTTGACATCTGGACAAGGGAAAGCTAGAGGTGGATGACCCTGGTGCCCTTTATTTCTCCTCCTTTTTACTGTGGGGAAGACGGTGGGCATCAGCATCTATGTAAACAGATGGAGTGGAGACAGATGTGAGCTGCTTTGTTTGGATTTGAGGAAGACCAAGAAAGTACCCATACTTTGGAATTGGGAGAACACTGGGCAAGGTTGCCGAGGAACCTGCTTTGCGGGTCTTTAACAGGGGCTGCTAGAGGGAAAGGGAGAGTTTCCTCTGCCCGGGAGGGGAGGAGGCAGGCCTTGTCTGAAGCAGGACGAGGTCGGTGAGGTCTGGCCTGCACCCTTGCTGCAGCCTCCATCTGGGATGTTCTGCACGGCCAAGACCAGAGCTAAAGGAAAGACGCCTTGTCCCATCTTATTATTTGGAGATCCAGAGCCTCCCCGCAAAGACTGCAGGCCAAACTTAGCGGGTCTCCAAAAAAGGTCAAAAAGAAAATACCAGAAGATGCTATACGTGCCTCCATTCCTTGAGCCTTAGAAAGCCAAGGAGAGCAGTGGAGTATCAGCAGGGCTGACGCGGGGCCCCCACAGAGGGGCTGAAGTGGGGCATCGGGCTCAGCAGGGTCATCTGGAGGGGCTGAGGCCGAGGTGCCCATGACCTCTGAGGCTCCAGGAATCTGCCCCTGAGTGATGGGAGCCCATGAGGAGGTACCCTGGTCCCCACCAACACCCCCTTCCCTCAAGCTCTGGAGTTCCCAACATGGGTGTTCGGTTGGAACCTCTCATTAGGATTTTAATCCCCATCCGCCCCTCACCTGCCAGTGCAGAGACCTCTGCAGACCTCAGAGGGCTGCCACTGGGGAGGAGGCTGCCCCTATGCCCCTCTGCCCCTCTGCCCCTGCCACTGCCTTTAGGGCCAAGCGCCGGCTGGAGAAGGAGGGTTAGCTTACAGCTGAGGTGTCAAGTCCGCTGGGCAACGGACAGTCTCCTGGCAGTCCTCCTGCCTCCAAACAGCTCCTGGAACTAGGAATTGAGAGCTTTTCTATAGTCGCTTGCTGATCATTGTTGGTTCGCTCCATGCCAGGCCCCGTGTCAGGCATCGGGGGTGTAATGATGAGTCAGACCTCGTCACTAATAAGCTCACAGGCAAAGTAGGGAAATAGGTGAAGTTACTCTGCAGGGAGCCAAGCACCCTACCTGGGGGTGTCTAGAATGCTGTGCGAACACAGAGGAGGGGCCCCCACCTGATGGGGGCCAGAGGGGTGTCAGGCTGGGTGGGACATCATGGAAGGTGTCTAGGAAAGAGGTTGAGCCTGGCTTGAGCCCCGAAAATGTGAGCGCTTCACTGGCACAGAGCCCCTGGCCCACTCACTGAGGGCCAGGAGGACCAAGGGGGACCGCTGTCTGGGGAGGCTAGGGCTGGCTGGCTGGCCCCCTGCGGCTGGCTCTCGTATGCCCAGAGAGAGGGCAGGGCCAGGCCCACCCCGGTTGTGCTCAAGGCCCACCAGGGGTGGAGCTGGCCTGATAGTAGAAGATGGAGTTGAAACAAGTCCCTGGCCCAGCCAAAAGCAGAAGGAAGGCAAGCAACCCTGACTGCCTGCAGAGATCTTGAGATGCAAGGTGAACAAAGGTCTTTGTCCTCAGTGAGCCTAGTGTTCATACACCTGTAGAGGAAAGAGGCTTACACAAGTCATCGTGATAAGGCGGCTCGATGATCTCACTCAGCCATTTGCTTATTCATTCCACAAATGCCGAGCACCTGGGCGCTTTCCTACACTCTGTAAGGTCCTGGAAACCAGAGCTGAGTGAGACCCCGCTCTTGTCCTGAAGGACGTCACAACCTAGTTAATAATGGACACAGGCTGGTCTGGAAGCGACGAGGAGGAAGCATCTCAGTTTACCTAAAGGAAGGAGGTGGTCATGTGTGGTTTCCTGGGGGAAGGGACACGAGTTGGGAGGTGGTTTTTCCAAGGGAAAAATGAGGAAGGGCATGCCAGGCCAGATGAACGGCGTGTGCAAGGCTGGGGCCCTGAGTGTGCTTAAGTCCAGGAGTGCCAAGTATGTTCCCTTCAAGTGGACCCTGCAGGCCGGGGAAAGCTGAGACGCAGGAAGGACACGGGGACCCAGACACATGTGGTCCAGTTTGCCGGGCTTTTACCTAAGGACAATGTGATACGGAAGGGGTTTAAACAGGGAATGACATCACCAGAAGATGAGTGGGAAAGTTAAGTCTCCAGGCCTGGTGACAACTGGATAGAGGTTAGTCATTATCCCATTTGGCAGACAAGAAAACGGGTGCGGGTTGTCTTCCCGGAGCAGGAGTGAGCAGGGGAGCTGGGATTTCTCCCATGACTCCAAATTGCCGAGAGTTTGGAAAGAAGGCCTGGACAGCATGTGACCTTCACTGTGGGGCACTTGTGTCAGGAAGGACACTTTCTGTCCAGAGCAGAGGTGATCGATCCCAAGCCCCAGATGCTTTGCCTCCCGACTGGGCTTCCGTAGGTTAGGCCCACTTGCTCCCAGAAGGCCTTCCCGTCCAAACAGAGGCTGCGGGAAGCCTCTGTCCCTTGGCAGGGCGACTGCGGCCTATCAGTCCTGCTGGCTTCTGACCACCCAGAAGGCCCCAGGCTCAGAGCCTCTCTCATCCAGGCTGCAGCAAGGCCAGAGTGGGGACTCCAGGCAGCCACGGGGTTCCTCAGGCTTCCCGTGAGGTTTGTCCAAGCTAGGGAAACGGAAGCCTGGAACTGTGCAGGGCAGAGTCTCTGAGAGGGTGAAGGAAGAGATGGTATCTGCAGACTCCCTGCAGGCAGGGTCCGCGCCGGGAGGAGGAAGTGCCCCTGAAGCCTCAGCCCATGACGTCCACAGAGTCAGTCGGCTGTGGCCTGTGGTTCTTTTGAAACCCACCCAAAGGCTCAAAGTGGCTAAGTGACCAAGGTGGGGACAGGGAGTGGATAGCAGAGGGCATTATAAGGCTCCTGGCTGGTCAGCCGTTGAGACTGAGGGTCACACTCTCCGGGCTTCAGAAAGGGGGCAGTTGGATGTTCTGTCCTTCAGCTCCTGCCCTGGGTCCATGGAGACTGAGATCATAAAACAACCCAAAAAGAGGGCTTTGGAGAAGCATCTGACATGTGCCTGGCACACAGTAGGTGCCCACCATGTCCTTGTGAAACAGCCAGATCTACTGCATGTCACCAGCCCTGGGCACAGGCCCAAAGTGCCCCTAGTGAGGGAGGCACCTGAGAAGTCCTCGCTGTGGTCCTGGGAGACCACCCTGTGCATGGAGTGTGCCCATCAGAGGGGCCCCAGAGGCCCTGCAGGGTCAGGGAAACCGCAGAAGACTCGAGACCTGACTGCAAGCAGGGGTGTGGCTGGAGCAGAGCTGGACTTGGGGAAAGTGGGGAGAGAAAGCCAGGGAGAAAGGGCAGCCGGATCTTGAGGGGCCTTGGGTGCAGGCTACTTTATTCAGAAAGTGGGCAGAGGGCTTCTTTCTCACTCAGGGCTTTTATTACACTACCTGGTAGGTGTAGTGGGCAGCCAGTGCCCCAAGGAGCGTAAGGGTTTGCTGAGAGGGATGTCCAAGCCTTGCTCCCTGAAGCTAAGGAGTGAGGCCGACCTGCCCTCCGCACCATGTGCAGCCCGGCTTCTGAGATGTGGAGCCTCCCTGCTGCTCTTCCGTGGATGCTCAGCCAGCCTCTCTCTGTGCTCCATGTTCTCCCAGGCGGGGCCTCCCTGACGTCCCAGCCCCAGGGCAGGTGTCAGGTCCGAGGCCTGGCAGAAGTTGTCCAGCGGTGGGGGGCAGCAGGCCATGTGTGCACTGCCTGGACACCCAGGGATGAGAACCATCTGCCAGAAGGCCAGGGTCTGGCGAGTTGCGTCAGCCTAAGTGGGGGCCCCAGCCTGCCTGGCCTGTCCCTCTTGGTCCAGTGGTCAGGCCTGCTGATAGGGGACCATGCTCCCTGCTTCGTGCGCCCTCTGTCCCAGGGTCTCAGAGCATTTCACAGGCTGCAGGGAAGTCTGTGAGGGATGTCTGGGGAGCCTTATACGGGGCCTCTTTTCTGGCACGTCATTACCTTTGAGCAGAAGCTTGAGGAAAGAAAAGAAGAAGAGCGTTAAAACTGACAGGGCGTCTTCCTCGTGCTAGCACCGTGCCGGCTCGTTCAGCCCCTCCGCTCAGACGTCACCCAACATCACACACCCACCCAAACCCAGTCCCTGGTCCTCCACCCACACCTCCGCTCCCAGCATTCCTCATCTCCATGAATTCCCCATCCCTGCAGCTGCTGAGGCCAAAACCCTTCAGAACTGTGCTCGACTCCCTCTCCTCCTCATACGCATATGAGGACTGTTTGCAAATCCTTGGGCTCCACCTGCAAAATAGATGAGAAGCCATCCACTTCTCTCCACCTGCACTGCTCCCACGCTGGTCTTGGCCACCACCATCTCTCACCTGGATCTCTGCGTAGCCTCGTGATTGGGCTCCTGCTTGC